CCATTTTAAAATACTTTTTTTTAAATTATATATAATATTTAGTTTAGGTTTCAATTTAATATCTCATTATTAAAAACTTAATAGTGAGTTGACGTGTCCTAATAAGGTGATGATGTTGAAAAATGTCATTTCAATAATTTTGTTATTGGAGGGAATAAAATTGAAAACTAAACTAAATATTTGTATGATTTTGAAAAAAAAATTAAAGTTTAGATACTAAAATAGAACAAAATTAATCATTCAAGTATTAAACATATAGTTTACCCAAGACAGAAAGAAAAACCGAAGTACAAAGAAATGAAAACAAAAAAAGTGCTTGGTATTGAAGGTAAAAGGTGTTGGTGACACTATTACGTAAAAGAAATAACATGTTTAGAAATTCATATTAATTTATTTAAAGATTTTATTATTTCCCCTTTAAGCATTTCTCTTTATTTTCAAAAATAAAATACAGATAAAAGTAACATTTTAAAATTTAAAATTATAATTTAGGATAACACGAGATTAATTTCTTGCATAGGCTTGCGGAGAAAATTGTTGAATGAAATCGTCAACCTTAATCTTTGAATAAAAGCTTGTGGTGTGGCATACTACATTTTTGTTATATCTTTTAAATAATATTACAATTTTAAATTATAACATTGCAAACAAAGAAAACTAAATTGAAAATATTAATAGTAAATTTATACAATATTATATTTAAATGAATTAAATAATAGATCAAATATCAATTATCATACTAGAAGAATACTCGAAATTTGAATCCGTCCATGTTACATTTGTTTCATGCTTAATGGTAAGGTTGTAAAATCAGGTAATCAGAAAGGTTTCAGTCGGATCTTGGCAGGTCGGGTAAAATCGAGTACATGTAAAGTCAAGTTGATTTGACACCAGATCCATATCGGGTTTAGGTCAGGTCATTTTCAGTTCGGATCGATGTCAATTCAGGTCAAAACAGTTCAGGTCCGAAGCAGATAAAGAACAGGTTAATTTAGATTCGGGTGGACTTCAGTCGGATCTCGTTCAGATCGGGTCACATCATTGACAGATAAAATTCAGGTCGGATGTTTTACCGGATACGGATTGAGTTCAAGTCGGGTCGTTTCTATTTTTGAATTAATTATTTTGTCATCTTTCGTGATTGTTGAATTGCAAGTTGTAATTGTATATGATTTCGAGTAAATTAAGACAAAAATAAATATTCATGAATCAATTTTGTAAAAAATATAAATTTAAGGACAAAATTGAAGAAATGTAAAATTAAAAATAAAATTTTAAAATATAAATTAAACAACACACATAGGTAAGGGACTAAATCGAAATAAATTTAAAATGCGAGGTTTAAATTAATATAAAAAATGACTAAATTAAACACATTTTAAAAGTTATGGGCTAGTTACAAAAATACAAATAACAACTAACAATGGGCCAAATGAAGATCTAAATATAAATTTAAGGACTAAATTGAATACATGTAAAAGTGAAAGACTTAAAATTGAAATAAATTAAAAAAACAAAAGGATTAAATTGAAATAAATGTAAAATGTGAATAAATAATAAAAATATAGTAAATTGAATTTATTTAAAAAATTGAAAAATATAATATATATATAATATAAGTTTATATATAAATTTTTATATAAACTATTTATATTATAACTATATAATTATTATAAGCTATATATAAATTATGTTTATATGAACTATATATATATAAAATATATGTATAAACTATAAAAAATATATAGTTTATAAACTATAATTTATATTAATATAATATATATATATATATATATATTATTCAAAGTGAGTGGTGGGATAAAACTTTTTAAAAGAAAGATTCTTTTGTGTGAAAAAATTTGATTTTATTTGGGAATTTAGAGGGAAATTGAAAAATTTTGAGAATATAGGGAAATTGAGAATTTAGAGGGAAATTGAGAAATTTAGAGATAATAGAAAATTTTGGGAAGTTAGAGCCAAGGATAGTGTCCAACAAGATTTTTAGTTTAATTAGGCTCATGCTCCTCTAGCAATAATTATTTTTCCACTTGTTTTTTATTTTTATTTCTTTCATTTTAGTCATGGTTTAATTGTAAATATCTTCTTGAATTTTTAATTCGATGCAATATAATCCTGTATACATTCTAATTACTTTTAATTTTATATATATGTACGTATGTATGTATGTATATAAACTATATATGTATAAACTATATAAAATATATAGTTTATAAATTATAATTTATATTAATATAGTATATATATGTATGTATAACTAATATAAGTAATCAATAGATTATATATATATATATTATAGAAACAATATGCATAAACTATATAAAATAATAAAATATATAGTTTATTAAAAAAAAACCTAAACCCTAAACCCTAAATACTAAACCATACACATTAAACCCTAAATCCTAAACCATGAACCATAATGTAAATGGACTAGCACTAATGCGTATATATTTGTAATAAAAGAGTGAGCTTATGTATTGAGCCTATGTAAACTAATGTAAATGGATAAACACTAATGCAAATGGACTTATTTTTTAGTTTTATTATTACTTATTCATAACAACAAAATAAATGGGCTATTAATGTGAATTAACCTAACATGCAACTAAAATATTAATTATGCAAATGAAATTAATATGACATGTACTACTATTTATGAACCATATAATATGCAATATGACATATTAATTATTTAACACCTAATTAATCATGTTTTATATAATTTACATTTAAATAATTTTATTAATTTTATTAAATAATTTTATATAATATGTATGTATAAACCATGTATATATATATAAAGTAAATTACTTATATAGTTTATTGAAACACTATGCATAAATTATATAAAGTAATAAAGTTTATAGTTTATAGAAATTCTAAACCCTAAATCATAAACTATACACCCTAAACTTTAAACCATAAACATTAAACCATAAACCATAAACTTTAATGTAAATGGACTAGCACTAATGCATATATATTTGTAATAAAAGAGTGGCTTTGTGTATTGGACCTATGTAACTAATGTAAATGGACAAGCACTATTGCAAATGGACTTGTTTTTGCGTTTTATTATTACTTATTCATAACAACAAAATAAATGAGTTATTAATGTGAATTAACCTAACATGCAACTAAAATACTAATTATGCAAATGAAATTAATATATATTTATAATAAAAGAGTGGGCTTATGTATTAGGCATATGTAAACTAATGTATTAATATATATAAACTCTAAACCTTAAATTTTAAATCTTAAACTATAAACCCTAAACCCTAATATAAATAGACTAGCACTAATGCATATATATTTGTAATAAAAGAGTGACCTTGTGTATTGGACCTATGTAACTAATGTAAATGGATAAGCACCGTTGCAAATAGACTTATTTTTTCGTTTTATTATTACTTATTCATAACAACAAAATAAATGAGTTATTAATGTGAATTAACCTAACATACAACTAAAATACTAATTATGCAAATGAAATTAATATATATTTGTAATAAAAGAGTAGGCTTATGTATTGGGTCTATGTAAACTAATGTATTAATATATATAAACTCTAAACCCTAAACTCTAAATCATAAACAATAAACCCTAAATCCTAATATAAATAGACCAGCACTAATGCATATATATTTGTAATAAAAGAGTGGGCTTATGTATTGAGTCTATGTAACTAATGTATTGTCAAAATTATTTATATTAATAATGTAAAACGTTAATATATATTACATAATAAATACTTTCATTATTAATATTATTTTTTCTTTATATAAATTAAACTATATAATTTATATAAATTAAACTATATTAATTTTCCTTTGAATTATTAATAATGTTTTATCTATTATACATTTAAATAATTTTATTAATTTTATTAAATAATTTATATAATAGGTCTATTTATTAATTTAATTATCATAATAAATATTTTATTATAACATTTAAAAAGTAATTATATTAATTTTGTAATTACATCATAAACTAAAAAACTCATAATTTTATTAAAATATTATAATTTCGTCCATGGTAATATATAAGTCAGGTAAATATCAGATAAGGTTAAAAAACAAGGCAGGTTGAAAACAGATCAGGTTAAAAACAGATCAGGTTGAAAACAGGTCGGGTAATACAAGTTATTTATCAGGTCAATCTCGGTTTCGGGTTCATATCAGTCGGATACAGGTCGAGTTCAGATCCACAATTTCCAGGTCCAATTCGGATTCAGGTAAACACCAGTTCCGACTCGAGTCGGTTTCGGATCGCTTCAGCGCATGTTAAAAACAATTTTGATTCGAGTCAGTTTCAGTCAGTTTTGCAAGTCGGGTCAACTTTTTACACCCTTACTTAATGGGAAATAAATGTCCCTTGTTTTCATATGTAATAGGATAAGGGAGAGGTAAGATAATAGGTTACCCCAACACTATAAAATGTCAATGCAATTCCAAAGCATGTCACTATTGTTGATAATGCTCAATCTACTAGTGTTGGATAATGCTCATTCAACTAGTATTAAATGGTAATAATGCTCAATCTACTAGTATTGGATAATGCTCATCAATTAGTATTGAATGTTAATAATGCTCAATCCACTAATATTGGAAATGATAATTTTGCCATCACTATTTAATCTATAAATAGTGGACAATTTCATTCATTTTGAAATATCCCAAGCAAACATTTACTTTGAATCACTCTTCTATTTTCAGTGTTGTTTGAGTTGAAAGAAGAGCAAAACCACTAAGTTCACTCCAGTTTTCGGGTGTACGAATTCTAGGAGAGCCGTATTAACCTTAAGGGAACGACTCGCCTACTGCAACGATTACACACATCGAGATGAATTCGTTTATAAGACAATAATTTTACCACAACACGATTTATCAATATGTTTCTTTTAAATTATTATTTATCTTTTCTGTAAGTACTAACAATATTATTTTGCGGCCCATATTTCCAACAACTAGCATTCCCAGGAGAAAATCAGTAGCCACACTTTGTTCTAAAAGATGAAGAGAGTGGTATTTCGGCAGCTTACCATCCGTTAAACCGGCTCTGTCGATCAACGGCAATCAGCATGGGAAAAGGATGGGCGATGGGTCTCTCTGCAATTTCCCATCACATAAATCCGGTTTCTTAATCTTTTCTTCACACCAAAACAACTGCTCTTTACTGATCCTTGCAATTCTGAGAACCCGGGATATAATTTTGATGTCAATGAGGCCAAACAACAACGGAACTTCGTCTGGTATCTGCGGCCAGGATTTCTTTTTCCACCCTTTCCTCTTTTACGCAATTCCTTCAGCTTCATCCCTTTCTGCAGATAGAAATGAAAACATTGTACAACATCATAGGTTATAATGAGTAAATCCAGATGGTCGGTCGTTTGAACAGCACCGTCCCCTTGACCGATGAGAGATGCATGTTCGAATTGCGCCAAATACGGTACCAGGCACAAAGAAGGAAAACGAGGGGTTGGAACAACATATTCCAATGCAATATAGCAGGTGAAAGACTAGTAAAGTGATGTTTGTAGACCAAGATCTTGCTTAAATTGGTCCCGGTATCAAGTTAATTTGAAATCCAAATTTTATCAGTTTAAAAAGCTTTTATTTGAGACTTTTGTTCTTCCATGGAAACAAGTAATGGAAAATCAATGCATTCTAGTAAGTATGTACCATAATCGGCCAACTTTTTCTTCAGTTTGTAGGCAGTTTTCATCATCTAAAATAATGTAGCTGATAGAAGAGAATGAACCAAACTAAACAATGTACTGCAATGTTACCGGATAGAGATACAATTCTTAATAAAACGGCAGTTCATCCATGCACACTGGAGCATCAAAGCAAATAAACTATTGATAATGAAGGGGCAGTAATTGAGCAGAGCAATTCTCATGGAACATAATCTTGTAGTATCCTATAAAGTTGAAACGGATCGTGTAGGATGAAATTACCATCTCTAATAAAGATTGAACTTGTTGAAGAGGGGGTAGCCATCAGATTCTGATTTCCAAACAAACTATGTTTTTTCTTGTCAATTTTTACAAACAGCTGGAATGCAAGGATTACACTCTCAATGATCTTGGTGATATCAGAGGCAAGGACCACATGATCTGATTTATCTTCCACCTTAGCCTTCTGATCCAAACCTGAAAAGTTTCGAAACATTACGCTTAAGTAAAAGAAAATAGAAACATCCTCAAATACAGTCCTTGTTTAGTTTGTAAACTGAAAAAGAATAGTCAGGCCACAAAAGTTTTAGTCAAGAAATCAAAGTTTCCTACTTTTGCTCGATGATCATCAAAGATTACCTTGTATACTTGGAATTTGAAGCAGTTTAGGCAAAACATGTCTAGCACGGGCATATATTTCAGCTCTAAGACCATCCTGAAAAGGTTCGTTTTCGATGAACCTTTGTATTAAGACTTGGAACTGTTGAAGGAGCTGAGCACTTTGGTTGTAACAAGTGGGACTATCGGGTTGGCACAAAACTATCTGGGTTTGTGTGTATTGACAATGAAGTGCCTCCCAAGTTAAGCAAATTTGAGCTACATATGCTATCTCAAGCTCCTGATACAGGTCATATGTTGGCTGCTGCAGTTACTCGGTTTCTACATCGGGTTCTTCAATCCTCTTCAATGAAAGGCGACTCGGAGGAGATGCAAGTTTCTTAGATGCAAATTTTGGTGAAAGATTTGTGGAGCCTGTAAGTCAACAGAATGACACGTCCACTCTAAGCAACAACATAAATAACAAACTTTTAAGTCCCAATGATCCTACAGATATTACTTAGTACTATTCGTCTTGAAGAAAAATATTTTTCAGAAAAAGGACACTGCCAGCAAATATTATTCCTCATTTATGCATCTACCTGTGCTGTATGATCTCATCGAGACATAAATATCTCCGATTTATGAACATAGATAAGCTTACAGCCTAAAGGCAAAGAAAAAAGTAGGAATATAATAAAATTAAAAAAAGGACGAAGCATGACAGCAATTAACCTTTCGATGCATCCCTACTCCCAACACTGAAGTGAACATCAAGAATCCAACATACTGAGTTTCAAGAAAACTCTTTTCAATCATAAGGACATAGAAATTGGCAACTAAGAATAAGGTTAAGGAACCTGATTGAGAGTCTAAGCAGGTAGCATTGCTCCATAATACAATACTCTAAATAGTTGCATACCTCACAAGTTGATTTTGTTTATTAATTCAGACAATATTGTTTCTCAAGTAACTTGATGGAGACTCGTATCACAAAAAGATGATGGTCACACATATGAAACCTGAATCATGCCTCATCACACAAAGACCTTATACATTTGGACCTCGTCAATTGTTTCGTTATGCTAGTGAAGTGCAGACAAAAGGCACTTGTAATTAAAAAATTTCAACCAATGAAGCAACAGTATGTTCGTGATGAATTAAAGGCACTAAGAGCTTGCTTCCTACGATATAAGATATGACAATGCAACAGAGAAAATGGAAATGTATACCAGCATTCTTGATCTGCTGCGCAATTATCCAATCAAAGAACAACATCCGCTCGCAATACTTTTCATAAACTGCATCAATCCCACCCCACCATTGTCTGCCTTCTGCTTCCACATCCCTCCACTCACTCGAGCTGGTCTCACCAGCCTCAGCTTCCTCTTGTTCTAAATACAACTCTTCTTCTTCCTCTGGAATTAAGACCATGAAACTGTTTCTTCTTAGTTCTTTCAATCTCCTCTGTACCTCATTTGTTATGAAATCATCATCATTATCATCCTCGACGTCGGCTGCAGCGGATTCGGCTTTGGATGATCCATTTAAATCAATGTCACCACCACACTTGACATTCTTTGGTTCTTCTGGTTGTGGCACATCATTTTCCTCCAAACCCTTTTCAGGGCCCGACTTGTAGAATTTCCTCAACTTATTGACTTTCAAGAAATCCATCTACTACACTTTTGTAGCTGCCAAATAAGCTTTTCAACTAGATTTGGTTGAACAAATGTCAGACCTTCAAGTCAAAATGTTATAGGTATATTAGCTAACTTAATCATCAATACTTAACAAACTGATAATCATGTAGGAATATTTACATTAAAAGTTTTCTTTCGTATATCAATTCACATAAATATTCGATGGATAATAGTAGGATTAAAATGTTGGATGAACGACAGTGGGATTCAACAATGACGACGGTAAACATTCGACAACAAGTAGGTAGTTATTCGATGACAACAACGGACGACAATAATGAGTTTTAGAAAATTAAAGTTTTTTTAAAATATTTTTTTAGAAAATTATAAATACATCACACGTCACATTTTAAGGGTTAACGATTTTTTTTATAAATGTGACGAAATTAACCTTAAAATGATATTAAAAAACCGTTAAACATTTATTTTGATAAAAAAAAACACTTTAAACACTAAAAGTGAAAAAAAATTAAGTATTTATTTTTTTAATTAAACTTTTAAAAAGAAAAATGATTTGTTAAAAAAACACAAAACACAATAAAGAAAACAGATTTATAGGCTTTAAATTTATTTTTTTTCGATTCCAAATATATATTTTAAATAAATTCTCAATATTTTAGCCGTTCTTGGGATTTCAATATTGTTGAATCAGCAAATTTTTAGTCATTGCCCAAGGATAGGGGAAGAATATTAAATCCTAAAATTCAAACTCAAACCTCTCGTATTACATCTAAAATTAAAATCCCAAAGGGGAAAAAAGAAGAAACTTTTTTCAATTTTATGGCATGTATTCTGAATTTTTGTAACACAATAACAAATATTACAAAACAATGGCAGCAACAGTAACGTAAAAGGCCCATACTCTTCTAAATGACAAATGCATATATATATATATATGTAGGTATTAAAAACGAGGAAGATGTGTGGATTACAATTTCAAAGCAGCAATTGCTTCAGGTTTGAAATCAACCCTTAAACTCATAACTCTCCTAACCTCAGCTGGGGTAAGTCTCCAGGTCATAGGTCCCGAGTTTTCTCCCCAGAAATCCAGAATCTCCGATGCCTTTTCCAAGTTGAGGATGGTTGCCATCTGTGTAAGCCGAGCAAATTTGTCTCTCACGGTTCTCTGAGTCATCCCTGAAAAATGGCTTACCAAAGCTCGGGTATCTCTGTCGAGCTGAAGGCCGCCAAGTTGACTAAACCGTTTCTGCATCATTATCACTTCCAGCCTCTTCACAATGAAATCAATCACCGAATGTACGAATGAATCGTAGTTGTTTGTAGTCATTAGGGGTTGGAGCCAAGCCACGTTTATTTCAACAGCATGAAGAAGCCTCTGTACCCATGGATCATTCACCTCGTTCTCAGCATATTCACTCTCTGATAGCTCATAGCTGATGGTTGCTACACTGTCTAGTACTGGACGGATTCGAGGTGTCACAGTAGCCACTAGTTGTTCCATTCCAGCATTCTGGGCTTGCTTGAAAGTGTTGCTCAAGTCAGCCAACTCGGACAAACAAGATTTTACCCTTTCCCTTTCAGCCGGTGCCGGAAAGACCTGAAGAGAATGAAAACGCATACACAATGCTGTACTTGGATGACAGGATAAATATAAAAAACAGTCACAAGCAACAAAAGGCAAGCGTAAATTACAATACAATGTATAGAATCTCTAGCTTAGCTAGCAATACAACCAAACTGCACACCTCTATTCCAACATTAAAGGACTGAGGATATAAAACATTTTTCACCAGCATGAATTCCTACTATGAAATATTTCTCATTTCTGGTGCAGGTGCCATTGCGCCTTTCAGTCAGCTAGAAGTAATAATTGGCACCACAAGCTCTCCCAAGAGAAACAATCTTGGAAAATTATCAAGTTCTTACTTGTATGATATTCAACATGATGACATACTCTAGTACTAATCTTCAGGAACTTTTGGATCCATGAGTGCCAACCATTTTGCTTCTTCTACAACACATAACTATAAAGTATATTATATAGCTGGAAATATTAGGGAAGAAAGTTCAGTTTTGAAGGCAATGCTGTCGGGGAACAAGGCGCACTCTAGGTGCTAGAACAATTGAATTGCCAGAAGTGCAAGGTGCCAAAAAAAAAAGTGCCCTCCAGGGTGAAGTAAGGCGCCATATGTATGTGCATATGCGTATGTGTATGTATATAAAATAAGCTTAAGATATATAATTATGTTAATGAACTCTAAGAATGGTCCAATTTATCTGCAAAATATGCAAAAAAAAAATTATTTTGCCAGTCAATATGATGCTTGGTTTCCTTTTGGTCCCATCTTAGCTGTTGAATACTAAAATTGAGAAGCAGAGAGTTTTATATCATCCAGTTTCTTACTAGTAAAAGCACTAGTGGGAAGATGAAAGGTACAAGTAAAAGCAATTAAAGGCAAAGCCAATGAAGCAGGATTTGTTTTTTTGGCTTCTATTGCCTTACAAAAAAGCATATTGTATATATCATTTTTTTATAAGAATTTCAAGCCTCGTTAAAAACCTCCTCCTTGATTAAAGGAGCTTGTAGAGAAGCTCCTTAATCAGCGGAAGGAGGAAAAGAGTGCCTTAAGATATTATTGAACAAAAGAAATTACATAAGATACAACCTACAAAACACCCCCATGAAAAACATAAAAACAGTAAACACCCATAAACCATCCACAGTAAACAACACTAAATCAGCCAATTCCTTCTTTAGCTAAGGCATCATCCTCTAAATTGGCTGTCCTATTACCATCTAACAACACCATGTAATACATCAAGCCTATGAACAATATCTTTAACCATAAAAGCATAAACATCATGACATAATTCCACCTCCTTAACCCAATCCACCGCCACCTTGCTGTCACTTTCAATAATCAAACGGTCCTTGAAGCTCTCTCGAAAATCAGCATAGAACAACAACCCCTTCTGAATAGCTTTTAATTCCATAAAGGTCGGAGGCCCCGGACCAGCAGTTTCCTTGAAAAAGCCTAAGGTCAACCCTGAGGAATCCTTTAAAACTCCTCTTATCCCACTCTTCTTCCAATCTCTAGTAGTAGCTGCGTCAACATTAAGTTTTACAAAACCTTTAGGAGGAGGGGACCAAGGAAAAACAGAAACAATCTGTTTGGAATTAAGAGAACACGAGTCCCCTAAGGAAGGATCTGAAATAAGAGAATCTTTAGGGATAGAAACCTCTTTGTGCTTTGCTAGGAACCAAGAAGCAAGCCTAAACCTTGATAAGAAGAAAAATTCAGCCATATCTAACTTCCCCCCTCAAACACAATTAGATTCCTTATTTTCCAAGTTGTCCAAATGACGATCCCTTGAATTAAAGACCAAAAAGGAGAGTTAGTCTTCAAAGCAGCCCAAGCAAGAAGAAAGCTTTTAGCATTAGCATGGAAAACAGTCTTTATCCTCCAGAAATTTAGAAATTTGTTCCACATAACCCAAACCACCGAACAAGAGAAAAACAAATGTGAGGAAGACTCATCCTCCAACTTGCAAAGAGGACATACCACGTCTTCAATACCTTGAATACCTCTTTTAACATGTTTTGTCTTAACAGCCAGCTTCCCTAAAACAACCTGCCACATAAAAGACTCCACTCTTGACGACAAGTCACCCCTCCAAATAATCTTCTTCCAAAAATGGACGTCCTCCGAACCCAAAGAATCGGATGAACATAACTTAATACCAGATTTTACAGTGTATACCCCATCCCCAGTACCTTTCCAAATCATCCCATCAGAAATCTCCATTGATAGTGAAATAGAGGAAATGACAGCCATCAAATTAGCCCACAGCTCTAATTCCCAGTCATTTAAATTCCTTTGAAATTGCACATCCCAAATCTAGCCCGAAGAGCTATATTCCCCAAATTCGAATAATTTACCCATTTTATTAGTGGAAATAGAAAACAATCTAGGGAAAATGAGCAAAAGAGGAGAATCCAAAACCCAATTGTCCTGCCAAAACCGAATTAATCTTCCATCTCCTACTCGAAAACTGCACAAACTTCTAAACTTGTAACCAAAAGTGTCCTCCACAAAGTGATTATTAATCAGATGTCTCCAAATCCAAGAGACTTTTTGAGGGATTTTACTGTCAAACAATAACAGTGAAGAATCCAGATTATATTTCGAGCAAATAAATGCCCTCCAAACAGACTCCCTTTCATTAGCAAACCTCCAAGACCATTTTTGAAGAAGTGCTCTATTCATGAAGTTTAGATTAAGAACACCTAAACCCCCTCAATCTTTGGTTTGCTCACATTCGGCTAAGAAACCCAATGAATTTTATTTTTACCATTTCCTCCTCCCCATAAGAAATTGGACATAATTGAGTTGAGAGTTTTAAGAACCGAAGCTGGTAACTTAAATAAAGATAAATAATAAGTAGGAAGCGAACATAGAACCGACTTGACCAATATCAATCTTCCTGGTAAAGAAAGTGAAGAAGTTTTCCACCCAGATAGTTTTCTGGTAAAATTATTAACTACTAAATTCCATAGAGCTGCAGAATTCCTAATAGCTCCCAAAGGAAGCCCTAGATAGTCAGAGGGAAAACTACCAACTGAACAACCGATAGTGTTAGCCCAATCCTGAACTTCCTCCTCATTCAAATTAACACCAAACAATTTACTTTTCTTCATGTTGAGCTGTAAACCTGAAATTACTTGAAACACACGAAGCACCCTCTTCACATTTAAAATCTACATTTTAGATGCACCACAAAATATAATGAGATCATCCGCAAACTGTAGATGAGATAAATTGAATGATCATTCATTTCTGCCAAGAACCAGCCTAGAAAACATCCCCTGATCAACAGCCTTTAAAATCAGCAAATTGAGAAATTCTCCAATAAAATTAAACAACAAAGGGGATAATGAACATCCCTGTCTAAGTCCCTTTGCCATTGGGATTTCCTTAGTTGGAACTCCATTAACTAAAACCGAAACAGAAGTTGTGGAAACACATTTTCTGATCCAACCTCTCCACTTGGGACCAAATCCCATTTTCTCCATCACTAGAAACAAAATATCCCAATCAACCGAATCATACGCTTTCTTGAAATCAACCTTGAAAACACAGCCTTTAAGTTCATTTTTCCTTCAAAAATCTACTCCTTCATTAGCAATTAATGAACAATCCAATATTTGTCTACCTTGGGTGAAAGCAAACTGAGTAGGACTAATTAAGTCTGAAACACAGCTCCTCAACCTCCTCGAAAGACACTTAGAGAAGATCTTATATAATCCACCAACTAAGCTAACAGGTCTATAATCATTAAGGTCACCACCGTTAGAAGTCTTAGGAATGAGAGTAATAAAGATATGATTAATGCCATGATCCCAATCTTTCCCCAATATTGATTCGAGCCTAGAGGGTTGGACTTCCTGAAAAGCTGCCGTTCTATGGCCAACTCCTAAGTATCCCAGAATTCAGCCTAACACTTACATGGAAATTCCCTAAGTTAAAAGTTATCAAAACATTAGCAAGTTGATGCGAACATAACATCATTATCCAACCCAACATTTGTAGCTAAATAATATAAATTTTAAATACAATGTAGAAGGAGCTAATAATGATCATTTACGAATTGATTTTAATAGTCCATTTCCTCTTTTCCTCCCCCTTTCCGAGTCCCTAAGAACCCTGCCTACAAATCGGAGCCTTCTTAAACTGTAATGTTTCTATGCATTAAGGAGAACCAACAATGTTTCACAACTCATAACACTAGAAAGAAATAAACCATGTACTTAAATAAGCAAACAAAAATCTTGGAAAATCAATAATATGTATGTAGCAGCTGGCCGAAACATAAGAAATTTGATGCATAAACGAATTAGAACAACAAAAAGCAACTATACAACTGACCTCCGCACACTGCTCTTCAATTTCGTGTTTTAATTTCAAGACATACTCACTGCTGAGATCTATATTATTGAGGGCCGTAGCTATCTCCGTCCCAGTCTTTTGAACACCAACACCACCCAAGAACAGCTTTGCCCCCAGATTCGGTTCTCTTAATTTCAGTTGCAAGGCTTCATAGTATTCATTATTCAGCAAGCTACTAGCACCACTTAGTACGGCAACAACAGAGCTAATATTCGAAGTAGAAATAGCCCTTCGCAAGCAGCTTTGCAAAACATAAAATACATCGTCCACCATTGAAGTAGTAAGGCTATCAGGTACAAGCTCATCAATTCCTATGGCTTTCCTCACATTTTCCACCATAAAGAACCCCTCTAAAATCACATAAAATCCAGTAATCTCTTGAGCAACCTTGCTAAAACTTCCATTACTAAAAGCTTTTTTAGCCCTTGGGGCTAAATCCGGATCCACAGTTGTCATTCCTTTGATCTTTGAAATCATATATTGTGTGTAATCTTCACCCAGTTGCATCAATGATAATATTTCCTCTAAATACAACTCAATCTCTCTTGGGTTTGGTCCTTCAGGCGCTCCAACGGTTAACAAATTCTTATTTTGAGAATTGATTTCAGACGATAATTTAGCCAATTTCCTAAATTCCATATATTTTTTCAAGATCAAAGAACCCCTTGAATCACATTCCTCTTGCAGCTCAAAAATTGCATACACCACTCCATCTTCTCCACAAAGACTCCTTAAAATATCATCATTTTCCTCAACAGCTAAAACTATATCTTTGAACAAATTAGTCAAACACCCAACAAAATTTACCTGGTTATTCTGATTTTGCCCATTACTTTGTTCCATCAACTCGACCAAATTCTCATACTCTAACCTTGATCTCATCCCGATCACTTTCTTCAAATACCCGACATAAATTTGCAACCCTTCTTCCTCAAGTCCCAAAGGCGAATAAAGCTTAATGAATAGCAGAATTGTAGTATGATCCCTTTGATCCACGGCTGCCATTAGTTTTTTCTTTACAATCGCCTCCAGCCGCTTCTTAGACGCCAATAACTGTTCCCTTTGGTCTGATCCGGAATCCTTAAACTTATTATCTATTTCCAGAAAAGTTCTCACGTAGTTCGTGGCAGATTCGTAATCCTCAGCGTCGAGAGCGCTTTTTACGCCGTCGATGCAATTCCCTCTCTCCACAATGGCATCAATACGATGGAGCGTGGAGTTGACGCTTGACTGAGCGAGGTCGAGCTCGCGGACCTTGCGGCTGACCTGGTCGGCGAGGTCGCAGGTGGAGGTGATGTTGGAGAGCATGTGGTCAGCTTCGGCCTTGACAATGTCTAGAACGTCTGCGGATCTTTGGAGGTTATTGAGGCTCTTGTCGAGATCGGTGCGCTGGGAGAGGAGGGTGTCGAGGTCGACATCGAGGGCGCGTTGGTAGGCGATGCACTCGTGGAGGAGGCGTGTCATGGTTCCGACGTCGGTGAGGGAGCGGACATAGTCGACGGCGTCGGGAGTCCCGAATTTGATGGAGGATGATGCGGAGGTGTCGTCCTGCTGCTCCGCCGCTTCCAGGGTTTTGGGGACGGAGCCGCGCGGCGTCGACAGCATTTCTATCTCTGTATCTCTTTCTAATTATTGAGAAGCAAATTTACGAGCAATGGGTGTTTCAGATTCAGATTTAGTTTTGGGAAGAAAATGAGATATTGTGCAGTGGTGCACATGGTTCATGGTCTCAAGCCATGCCTAAGTTGGGCCCGGTCCGATTAGCATTTGGAGTTGATTTTTATTTTCATTTGGCATAAAGACACTTGATGCCCCTATACTTTCAAAAATAGTTAATGTAGTATTCATATTACTTTTTTAACCTTCAAATAAAATAAAAAATTTACATGCAATCCTTTTATAGATTTTTTTTTGTTATTGATTGTTACGGTATTAATTTAGTAATTTATAGTATTTTTATGGTGATTCATAATATTAATGTAATAATTTATGATGTCAACGTGACAGTTCATAATAACTAACGGTATAAGAATAATAATATATACCGCTACTTTATTAATTAAATAAAGTTATTTAAAAATATATTATAGTATATCATATTAATACTATCATTAAATTTTTAACAATAAATTAAATTAAAATTTAAAATAAACTATAGTACAATCAGTAAACTTATCGTTTATAAAAAAAATACCCATTGATCTTTAAAATGGTATATATGGATAAAAAGCCGTCTAGTTCCTTCTATAAATATAGAAAGTGATAGATTGGCTTGTGTACATTTGATAGGTAGCGGTAGCGGTAGCAGCAGCAGCAATTCCTTTTATCTGTTTTAATGGCACTTTCCCTTTTTCAAACCACAATAAAGCTTACCCCAATCTTCAAACCCCGCCCTTCCTCGTTTCGTCTCCTTTACCTCCGACCCCAATCCAACCGACCCGACTTTCCCGACACCACCGATCTTTCCTCCGACGCCGACCCCCACACCGATCCGCTCCTTCAGAAACTCGAAGACGCCATCCACCGGATCATTGTCCGCCGTTCAGCACCCGATTGGCTTCCTTTCCTCCCCGGATCTTCTTACTGGGTCCCCCCACCCACCGCTCAATCTTATGGCCTTACCCAGCTCATTGAGAAGTTGGCCCCAGAGGATCCCATTTCCTCCTCCACCTCAACCACAGTCCGAGGTTGGCCCTCCTCCGACTATTTCATCAAAGGTAATTTCAATTTTCCAATTGCGTGTTAATTTTGGGCGAAAAATTACTCCGGCATTAGAATTCGAATTTAATGTACAATTCTTACTCAAAAAAAAGAAAAAAAGAATTTAATGTCCAATTCAACTTGGCGCTGTAAGAGGTAGATTTATTGGATTTTGTGTTTTTGACATAATTTTTCATGAATTCGGCATAGCTTATTAAGATTTCGCATTCGTGGTTGCATTGGAAATTTAGCGATTGAAAAATTGCGTTAACCGTGTAAAAGATAAGAATATGTTTGTGCTTGACAGAAAATAAAATTCGCGACATTTTTACTCTAAACTTTACCACTTGATTCTTGTATTTGTGTTCAAATGCAATGCCGAATGAAGCCTTAGACGTTCACAGCAAGTAACAGAGAACCTCTTTTATTTTGAACTTTTGAATTGCCGTTTGCTTCTCTATGTTTAACAATTGGATCTTACTGCCGACTTCATCTCCTCCTTTTCTTAGTTTACTGGTTCAAAAAATTGCTTCCTTAATCTCGGAGAGGGCGATCATTATTAGACATATACCGAGGAGATGCAATTGTGAGGCTGATACCTTAGCTAAACAGGGGATTGGCTGATCACTCATTATTGCCTTAGAGGTCATTCAGTAGGGTCTTGGTTTATTGTGGTTGTAGGGGATGTGGTAGTTTCGCTATTGTGTAGGGGCGGACTGGTCGTTTTAAATGTTCTGTAATTTTTATGGTGTTTAGTCTGTCTGCTGGTTGTTTTTTATGTACTGTGTTTCTTGAGCAATAAAATCCTAAGGCACTCTTTTCCTCCCTCCGCTGATTAAGGAACTTTCTCAAAAGTTCCATTAGTCAAGAAGGGGGTTTTTAATGAGGCCTGCAATTCATATAAAAAAAAATATGATGGGGATACAATCTCCCTTCAGATTGAGACTATGGAGACCTGTTTCCTTAGCATTTCTGATTGACAGAATATAATGTTCTTTTTTCCTCTCTCTTTTTTAGAAATAAGATTGTGTTGCGAGTTATGTTACTTGAATCTGCTGTCTGACATGGCTATGGTTAATATTTTTTGAAGTTTTTCCATATATTTGGAAGGTCTTAAAGGGACACAGGTCCGGATATCTGTCAGGAAAAGGGTTGAGTACTTTTGAAAAAATGGAGAATCGAAGCAACATTTAGTATAGGGATAGAAGAAGGAATTAAAGATGTTGAGATCTGACCTATTAGATATAACCTCTTAAAGGTAATAAGATAATTGTGCTAAGTTATTGTTACAATATCCTCAGTCCAAATATGTGTTGACAAAGGTTTCAGACTTAGGTGCTTCTAGGAAAATGAAGAGCTGGAGCAACATATAATACAGGCATAGAAGTAGGAATTAAAGATGTCGAGACTCGACCTATTAATTGTAATTGCATATACTAATCGAGCTAAGTTTCTGTTCCAATAAATAATGTTCTTTACAACACTGCAGGCGGAGCCCCACATCCAGCAGAGGTGGACATGGCTTCAAATACTTCAAAATCCGAGGATGAGGAAGGATGAAGCTTTCACTAATATGGGGTAAGCTATATTTTGCTTGCTGCTTAAAAATTCTGCACGTCTGATAAAAGTGTGGAGATTTTACTGCTTTTATGAAGTTTTTCTATTACCAATCATAGCTAATGAAATTTGCTGGCTCTAGAATTGTAGAAACAGTAGACCTGGAAAATTTGTGTATTCATGTGGAGCTAGTGTTTGAGTTTTGTATCATGTTGCGTTTTAGTCAACTTTTAACATGTTCTGTTCCTGTCTCGCATTGGCAGGTCTAGAAAGGGTGTAAGAACGCATTCCTGAGAAACCTCATATTTCAGTCAGACCGGAGGAATTGTACAGATGCAGTGTAGTCTAGTGGAGTATAAATAAATCGTTTCTAAAATTTCACAGCTCAAATGCATCTCATATCAAGTGTGTTGTACTTCATGTGATTTAGCTTCGTTATATTTCAATTTTTTTTCTAGTGTAAATAATCAAATCTTATGAATACTGATTGTAAAATTTTATCTTTATGATGTATCAGTGATCAATGTAAATTAAGTAGTTAATCCAAGTTTCTCGGCGACGAAAACAATGGACTTGTCATGGTGTTTAAAGAGGAAGCATGGAAATATTTGTAAATATGTTTTAGGTAAACTTTACGGATGGTCCCTTATGTGTTTTGTCTGTCTGATTTTGGTCACCGGTTTAAAAAAAAGTGTGGTTTTAGTCCATTACGTTGTCGATCCGTTCGATTTTAATCACTTGATCGTTAACTCTAGTTAACCTATTAACAGAAATTTGAGTGGACAATTAAAAAATCGCATGTTTTACCACGTGCCTTCCATTTTAAAATCCACAAATAAAAATAATATCATAAAAATCCATCTATATACCATAAAAGAAAATTCAATTCCTTCTACGAAATCAGTATTATAAAAAAAATCTTATTTTAATAGTTTAATGCGATTATGATATAATATCTACTCATGATCAACGTGTGTTGATTAAAGTGATAATTAGTTTGATATCACTTACACATATTTTAAGTTTGAAGCCTTATTTATTGAAAAAACCTTCGCTAAAAGATTTATTCACCAGAATAAATATACTAAAAGAATCAATTTCAGTGAATTATATATATAAAAGAATCATTTGTATGTCACTTTGAAATTAAAGTAGACCAACCTTATTTTGAATGAATTTAATCAGAGGATTAATTCCCTATGTTTTCAGTTACAATTTGTTAGGTAAAGATTGATGATCTCAATCACAATGATTTTTGCTTCGCTTTCTAGTTAAAACCTATCAGTTGTTGCGCTTTTCCAATAATATTCAATAATTGTTTTTTTAGTGAACTAAAAATATCAATAATTGGAATTTAAATCTCTAAATCTGTTTCTTCTTTTCTTTCGCTCCTAATGAATTCCTATTGCTATAAACAAATAATAAGTTTACATTTTTTATTTTTTAAAAAATTAAGATTTTAACAAATTCAAATCTTCAAACGATATTAATAAAACAATTATTTAGATTTAAATATTAAATGTAAATTATCATTATTACTATGTTCATCAGAATAATAATAACGAAGAAGATAAAATGCATTCTCATGTCACTCAATTATATATTTCTTAATAAACGAGTTTTTTTTAAAAAAGTTATAATTTAGTCATTTAATTAAAATATTGGTATAAACAGAAGTAATTGGTCATTAAATATAAAAAGTTTGAATTAAGACACAATTGATAGAATATATAAGTTTTGAAAATTAAAAATATTATTAGATCATGTTAAATTAATTTTTTAATAATGTTTTATTTAATTAATTAAATTATGATATTTTAGAAAACATTATTCAGTTTATTACTAAATATATAATCAATAATAATAAAAACAAAGAGGGTAAAATATGTGTTTAGTCCCCAACTATCACTTTTGTTTGGTTTTGGTCACTCAACTATTTTTTTCAAAAGCATACATAACGTTTAATTTTAGTTATCCATAATTAAAAAATTAAGGATGATGTTGACGTGTCACCATAAAATAATGTCACATCATCATTGAAAATCCATGTATGTGGTTTTATTAATTTTTTAAAAGTAAATGATCAAAATGAAACCAAAATGTGGTATTAGATATGATTTAAAAAAAGTTGGTGACTAAAACAGAATAAAAGTGATAATTGGGTACTAAACGTGTAGTTTACCCTAAAAAAATAATAATATAAGTAGCAGCAGCATTAACCAAATGGTGAATAAGATTTGCAGTAGTACTGTGTTAGGATTTATATGATATTCAGAGCGAAATGGAACAACCAACAACGAATTAAAATATATAATCTTTGTAGAATTTTTAAAGACAAGAGTGTGGGATTGCTGTTCCCTGTTCTTTTCTGTGGCTGTCTGTTTGTTTCTTTCCTTGCTCCAACCATAATGTCTCCAAATCTATTCATTTCCTCCTCAATTCTTCTGTATTTTACTAGAGTTATGCATTTGTTCTATCCTTTTATTTTCTTTTACGTAGGTTCCCATTTTTGTAGCTCTTCAATTTATTGATGGTACTGTCCTCTACTCCCAACACAAGCACCGGTGCTTTTTCTTCAGATCTTCCCCATTTTCTTGCTTTCTACTCCAAATGGCGATCTGGGTATTGTTTGTTTATGTGGTTTAGCATGTACATTTGCTTCCTTTATATATTGGTGTTAAGAATTTTTTATACTAGAAAATTACAATCATTTGGTTTGTTTTTGAAAAATTAAACTAAAAATGTAATTGAAATCCTATATTTTGGATTCTGTATAGAAAAGAGAAGTTCCTTTAGGTGAGCTCATTAATCTTGTAATGTAAGTTTCTTTCTTAGATCTCCTTCCTTTTATCTATTCCTGGTGAACAATTAGAAGAGGTATGCTTAGTTTATTTGATTTGGATTGCAAATCTGGTTCTTCACATTTTAGGTGAATGTAGGAACTTATTTTATGATGCAGTTCTTAGTTAGAAATTTGTGGAAGTCTACATCTTTTAGTTAGTAGGAAGTCCCATTTTGGGCTGTTTTTCAACAGAAAATGTTTTATAAGAAATAACTAGGTAACATTGAATCTAAATTTTCCCCATAATTTTGGAGCCTTTTATGGCCAGGTTTTAGGTCTTATCCCCTTTCCTTGATTTTGTTTGAAATGTGGTGAATGATTCTGGTGTTTTAGGTGGTTAATCACTGGAGTAGTACTTCTTATATACTTTTGTGGAGATATGAAATTGGTGATTCTCTTGCAAAATCTGAGTACTTTGACTTGTTCGATTCTGATAGTTCCTGAGAAACTGCAATAGAGCAAGATAAAGAAGGCCTTCCTTCAGCATTTTCTCATTGCTCTGGATTCTCATTCTCTTCTCATGCCTTCAGATATTTTTTCTTTCTTTTAACTTTCATTCAAAATTGTGACGTGGTTATATTTTCCCGGATTGAATGCAGTTATTATATAGATTACTGGTTTCTGAACCTGATTTCAGCTCTCTTTGTACACACACACATATATATGTATATGGGCATGTTATGATGCATATTCTTTCTGAGTTGCAAGTATCATATTACTGTTGCCTAAGATTCCATTAAATTATGTATAGTAAGAATTTGACAATAGAAGAATGTTTATATTTCTTTGCTTCCATTGTTTTAGTGAATAGGTGATTATTCCTTTTTACTTTATTTAATCAAGCCATGATATTATCTCCTTTCCTTTCAAGTGTTCCGCAACATACTAGTGGTTTGCTTTCTTTAATAGCTTCAGTTTTTATCTTGAGATTTTATATTTTCTAGCCCTTCTGTCATTTTTTTCGGGCCAAGTTAAACAAAGGGGTAGGAGCATCAAATCTTCGGTCTCTGTTTGATTGTTAGTTATGTTTTGAAGCTTCTTCCTTCCGTATTACTACAATTTTTTAGTCATAAGTTTCCTGGGATCCATTGAGTTAAGCAGTTCTTCTTTATCCAATTTGTGTATCTGTGCTGAAATCTGAATTCAGCCTATCTAATGCAAGATTTGGAGTTGGTCACTGTTTTGGATGCACTGTTCAGGGACACAGTTTATGAAACCCTGATGCTGCTTCAATCTGCATTGAAGGAAATTTGCTTGAATAATTATCATTTTTATAATGTACAAGATTAATTTATGTTCGCCTTTCTATTGCTATATGTGTTTGTGTTGTTCACCTCTTTTGTGTGTCAATTAGCTATTCACCTTTTAATACCTAGTCTGTGATTAGTCCACACACATTTTCTGTAATCATTTGAATAACCAACCATTTTCTGTAATCAATTTGCCAGGGTGGCTTTGAGTTTCTTGTGCTTTCAGTTGTTTTTGTGTGATATATTGGTGCATTCTCTATAGGAAGCTAGATGGGTTCAAGATTCCCATCTCATAAGCTCGGCAATGGGCTTTATGTATCAGGCAGACCAGAGCAGCCTAAAGAAAGGACTCCGACCATGAGCTCAGTGGCCATGCCTTACACTGGTGGAGATATTAAGAAGTCTGGAGAACTGGGGAAAATGTTCGATATCTCTATGGATGGTTCTAAGTCCCGGAAATCTGGGCCTATAAATATTGCTCTTTCTAGGACTGGATCTTTCGGGGGTGCTGCTTCACATTCTGGACCGATGATGCCTAATGCAGCACCTCGGTCAGGCTATACCACATCAGGTCCTGGTGTCAGTGGAGGCATGTCCAGTTCAGCCTCATTAAAAAAGTCAAACAACTCTGGGCAACTGAATGGACATGGGGATTCTGTAATGAGATCATCTGGTCCACAATCTGGTGGTGTAACTCCTAGTGGACGTCAAAATTCTGGTCCTATTCTTCCTGTTCTCCCTACAACGGGCCTTATTACGTCTGGGCCCATTTCTTCAGGCCCACTGAATTCCTCCGGGGCTCCTCGGAAATTAACTGGTCCTTTGGAATCTATGGGATCAATCAAAGTAAAAAGTTCTGCTGTTCATAATCAGGCTGTTAATGTTCTTAGCCAAGATGATGACATTTCTTTCAAGAGGAACTTCCCAAAACCAATATTATGGGTACTAATACTGCTTTTCATAATGGGTTTCATTGCTGGTGGTTTTATTCTTGCAGCAGTGCACAACGCCATTCTTCTCGTCGTCGTTGTGGTCCTTTTTGGTGCTGTTGCTGCATTATTTGCTTGGAACTCCTGTTGGAGGATAAAAGCTATTACAGACTTCATTGCCCGTTATCCGAATGCAGAGCTAAGAAATGCAAAGAATGGGCAATTTGTGAAAGTTTCTGGGGTATGTAAGATAAGTTAATTATTTTTTTGCTCAACTTCTATTTGATATGATATATTCATGATTGCTGTCATTTTCTTAACTTAAGAAAGATTGAAAAGGTTGAAAAAAAAATCTTCATGATTCCAAAGTATTCAATCTAGTCTAGTGATGGTGTATACATTCACACCAACTTATGTAGTAGTAATGTGCATACAATGTAGCGATTCCATGTGATTGAGCCTGTAGTGCTTACCTGGATCTTGTGTTGATTCCTT